GGGCTACGTAGTGAGCTCAAGGCCAGTCTGAACTACATAGCAAGATCCTGTCTCAAAAATACAAAACAAAACAAAACACTGCCTTCAGAGCTCCTTGTCTTCCCTATTTTGCTAAACTTCCCCTTCCTACAAGGAGAATCAAGGAAGAGATGACGGGAATCTGGAGAGTGCTTAGATGCAAGCCTTGGCCAAGGAGGCGCTGGAGGCTCAAAGGCTTACAAGCCCCCACCTGTCACCAGGAATGAAGAAGGGTGAGGACAAAAGGAGAAATTCTGGCAACAGCCCAGAAGGTGGCTTTGGCTGGCTCTCTGGGGAGCAGAATTTTCCAGCGGATGATAAACAGGTCGTGTGGATAGAAGCCCGCTCTGAACTGGGGAGGGGGCCTTGATCACCTGTCTCTTCTCTCAGGTCCATGCATGGACTGCTAAGGCAGACACTGTCATCCAAGGACTTATGGGCTCGACCAAGACAAAAACTGCATTTAGCAGAAGAGAGAAATATGAATTCAACTCCCGGTTCAGTTATGATTTAGACACAGCCGTGGGTAGAATAGTAATGAGCTCCTTATTTTAAGCAAGCGGTAGAGAGATGAAAATAGATCAAGTGTGTTGAATCAACCCAGGTTTTTGCAATCTGTGAACTAGATATAAGACCACACCTTTATCAGGCAGAAGAGACAAGTATGGGGAGTCTTTCCTGAAAACAAAACCTCTTTGTTTTCAGACAGGAGTATTCCTACTTGTCTTTTTTATTTTTCTTGTTGCCGAGACTAAATGCCCAACACCCAGCGTTAAGGAGAAAAAGGTTCTTTCATCTCACAGTTTGTAGAGGTTTCAGTCCTTAGTTGGCGGGCTCCAAGGCAAGAGGGGCATGGCAGAGGAGCATCACAGAGGAGAAACAGTCCATGGCAGGGCCAGCAGAAAGCAGCAGCAGCAGCAGCAAGCCTCCCTTTCCCTTTTATCCCATCCAGGCTACAAACTTTCTGGGTGGTGCCACCCACACCCAGGGTGGGCTTTCTATTATCTACACCCAGAACTATGATACACCAATTAGTAGAATAATCCAGTTCCACATACCCTTGATCCCAGTAACAGACACACCCTAGGTCTAGCCACCTCTGTGAAACCACACCTATGTAAGCACATGAGGCTTTGGGGGGACATCCAGATACAAGCCATTACACTATTGTTGCAGAGTAAATTTCATCTAAATCATGGCTAGAGAAGGTATAGACTTCATCTTGGGGCTGGCTTCTGAAAGGAAGCCATTTCCCTTGGGCCTCTGGATCCAAGCCAAACAAGAACACTCTGGACTATCCCTCAAGATCCTCCAGCAAAAAAAAAAAAAAAAAAGATCCTCCAGCAAAAGCTGTGACAGTGGTTCCCATCCATGTATTTGGTGCCAGACACTTTATATGTTATTATTTCACCTTGATCTCAAAATACCTTTTATCTATATTCTGTAAATGAGGACGGTAAGGGTCGAACCCAATGCCACACAGTGAAAAGTACACAGGCAAGAGTTGAATGTAGGCCTGCCTGACCTGAGAACAAAGGTTTTCTCTATGTCAGAGAAGGTTTTGCTCAATTGTTACTTTTCAGAAAGGTCTCTTCTGGAGCTGAGGATTTAGCTCAGCAGCACAGCACCTGCCTGGCAAGCTCAAGGTCATCAGTTCGATTCCCGGTACAGAAAAAAAAAAGAACCTTTGGGCTGGGGATTTAGCTCAGCGGCAGAGTGCCTGCCCGGCAAGCACAAGGTCGTGAGTTCGATTCCCAGTACCAGAAAAAAACTGAAAACCAAAAAAAAGAAAAACCAGAAAGGCCTCTTCTGCCATAATGATTTAACCACGTAATGCTCATCCCTGGCATTTTGTGTGCCCAAAATCTGTTTTATTTATATTACATCATTTGACCCACTGGATTCTAACTCACTTGTTTATTGTCTTTTTCTTCCCCTAGGAGCCAGGTTCCACGAAGGCAAATATTTTTATTGGTATCCCAGGGACCTACTAGAGTGTCTGGAAAATTAATGAATATGCCACAAATAAGTGACTGTTGAATAGCCTCTTGCCTGGTTTTCTGTCGGCAAGCTGACAGAAATGCGTGCCACATTTGATAAAAAGCAATTCAATGATCCTTTAGGAAACCTTTAGTTTCTAAACTCTGCTGGAGTGAAGGAGAGAGCAGACAGCAGGCCACTTTTGGGCATTTGCAGAGAAGAGGGCATCTGGGCTGCCAACAAGACACAAGGTGCCAGCTCACAAGTTAACGTGAGCACACACAGGCATCTGTGAGCAAAAAAAGAAAAAAGGTAACGAGGGATGATAGTACCAATGGCAGAACTCAGCCTCTGGGGAGAACCCACAGAGCCGTTCCTACAGTGCCAGGCGGCACGGCTTGTGTGCTTCTCACCAGTAAGGTTTTTCTCTAGCCAAGAAGATAAAAGGGAAATAAGACTTCCCTGCAGCACAAACATTGACTAGACCACAGAAGAGATTACAAAGTCATTTTAAAGCAAACATTCTTTAGCTTGTCCAAACTGATCACTTAGGGCAAGATTCTTGGCCCCGCTGGGGATGAAATGGGATAATGCATGTTGAACTGTCCTCACTATGTAGCCTGGAACATGAGGGCCACATATTTGCTATTCTGTGAAAATCCTTTCCTGAAAACCGGGTAAACACTTCAGATTCTCTCTCTGGAAAATACACACTGACCTTACACTTGTAGTTTTGCATATAATTTCAGGGGCATGAAACCCTCCAGAGACCCACGGATCCAGGAGTTATGAACAAATTCTATGAGACAGATCAATTCCCAGGCCAACAAGGTTTATTCCTAGCTTGTTAGATACAGTATACTCAACACACCTAAAGGAGCAATGTGCTGGCGGGTTAGGGGTTCGTTAACCTTGAAAGACCAGAATTAGAGTTGAAGCAAACACTGTACCCACATTCCAGCACTGCAAAGGGAGGCGTACGCTAGCATAGGGACCCACTACGCATCCTCGGTGGCAATGGCTTATCCCTGCTATGGAGATGTGTACAGCAGGGCTTGATCTGATCTAATATCTTTTTAAAAAATTTATGATGAATATTATGGTTACCGTAGTGCTGGGGATGGAACCCAAGTCTTGTGCATGCTAGGCAAGCACTGTGCCATATCCGCGGCTCTGGTGCCCTGACAGCTAACACGTGGGTCATGTCACTCAATTCCTCTTGCTCCATATCACCAAACTGATCTTCCCATGATAACGTGGCTCCTTCAGTGGAGGGTCTGCAGGGAGAGGCAGGGGGCACAGAGTTCTGGTTCCCTCCATTTACATTTCCCATGGCCAGTTGGTGAACCAGATTCTGGGAGTGCAAAACAGCCTGGGTGTGTGACTCAACCCTCTCCTTTCAGGTGCACATATCGGTTTTCT